TCAGACACTCACTCACTCAGACACTCACTCACTCAGACACTCACTCACTCAGACACTCACTCACTCAGACACTCACTCACTCAGACACTCACTCACTCAGACACTCACTCACTCAGACACTCACTCACTCAGACACTCACTCACTCAGACACTCACTCACTCAGACACTCACTCACTCAGACACTCACTCACTCAGACACTCACTCACTCAGACACTCACTCACTCAGACACTCACTCACTCAGACACTCACTCACTCAGACACTCACTCACTCAGACACTCACTCACTCAGACACTCACTCACTCAGACACTCACTCACTCAGACACTCACTCACTCAGACACTCACTCACTCAGACACTCACTCACTCAGACACTCACTCACTCAGACACTCACTCACTCAGACACTCACTCACTCAGACACTCACTCACTCAGACACTCACTCACTCAGACACTCACTCACTCAGACACTCACTCACTCAGACACTCACTCACTCAGACACTCACTCACTCAGACACTCACTCACTCAGACACTCACTCACTCAGACACTCACTCACTCAGACACTCACTCACTCAGACACTCACTCACTCAGACACTCACTCACTCAGACACTCACTCACTCAGACACTCACTCACTCAGACACTCACTCACTCAGACACTCACTCACTCAGACACTCACTCACTCAGACACTCACTCACTCAGACACTCACTCACTCAGACACTCACTCACTCAGACACTCACTCACTCAGACACTCACTCACTCAGACACTCACTCACTCAGACACTCACTCACTCAGACACTCACTCACTCAGACACTCACTCACTCAGACACTCACTCACTCAGACACTCACTCACTCAGACACTCACTCACTCAGACACTCACTCACTCAGACACTCACTCACTCAGACACTCACTCACTCAGACACTCACTCACTCAGACACTCACTCACTCAGACACTCACTCACTCAGACACTCACTCACTCAGACACTCACTCACTCAGACACTCACTCACTCAGACACTCACTCACTCAGACACTCACTCACTCAGACACTCACTCACTCAGACACTCACTCACTCAGACACTCACTCACTCAGACACTCACTCACTCAGACACTCACTCACTCAGACACTCACTCACTCAGACACTCACTCACTCAGACACTCACTCACTCAGACACTCACTCACTCAGACACTCACTCACTCAGACACTCACTCACTCAGACACTCACTCACTCAGACACTCACTCACTCAGACACTCACTCACTCAGACACTCACTCACTCAGACACTCACTCACTCAGACACTCACTCACTCAGACACTCACTCACTCAGACACTCACTCACTCAGACACTCACTCACTCAGACACTCACTCACTCAGACACTCACTCACTCAGACACTCACTCACTCAGACACTCACTCACTCAGACACTCACTCACTCAGACACTCACTCACTCAGACACTCACTCACTCAGACACTCACTCACTCAGACACTCACTCACTCAGACACTCACTCACTCAGACACTCACTCACTCAGACACTCACTCACTCAGACACTCACTCACTCAGACACTCACTCACTCAGACACTCACTCACTCAGACACTCACTCACTCAGACACTCACTCACTCAGACACTCACTCACTCAGACACTCACTCACTCAGACACTCACTCACTCAGACACTCACTCACTCAGACACTCACTCACTCAGACACTCACTCACTCAGACACTCACTCACTCAGACACTCACTCACTCAGACACTCACTCACTCAGACACTCACTCACTCAGACACTCACTCACTCAGACACTCACTCACTCAGACACTCACTCACTCAGACACTCACTCACTCAGACACTCACTCACTCAGACACTCACTCACTCAGACACTCACTCACTCAGACACTCACTCACTCAGACACTCACTCACTCAGACACTCACTCACTCAGACACTCACTCACTCAGACACTCACTCACTCAGACACTCACTCACTCAGACACTCACTCACTCAGACACTCACTCACTCAGACACTCACTCACTCAGACACTCACTCACTCAGACACTCACTCACTCAGACACTCACTCACTCAGACACTCACTCACTCAGACACTCACTCACTCAGACACTCACTCACTCAGACACTCACTCACTCAGACACTCACTCACTCAGACACTCACTCACTCAGACACTCACTCACTCAGACACTCACTCACTCAGACACTCACTCACTCAGACACTCACTCACTCAGACACTCACTCACTCAGACACTCACTCACTCAGACACTCACTCACTCAGACACTCACTCACTCAGACACTCACTCACTCAGACACTCACTCACTCAGACACTCACTCACTCAGACACTCACTCACTCAGACACTCACTCACTCAGACACTCACTCACTCAGACACTCACTCACTCAGACACTCACTCACTCAGACACTCACTCACTCAGACACTCACTCACTCAGACACTCACTCACTCAGACACTCACTCACTCAGACACTCACTCACTCAGACACTCACTCACTCACTCACACACACACACACACACACACACACTCACTGAGACACACACTCGCTCACTCAGACACACACACACTCACTCACACTCACACACTCACTCAGACACTCACACTCTCTCACACACACTCTCTCTCTCACACACACACTGACACTCACACTCACTCACTCGTTTGGATTAGAAATGGCTATGCAAATGGTACAAAAGCTTTGGCGTTTTTGCCTACAAGTTGTGCCTGCACACTTGAGAGAGATTTTAAACAAGACGTCGCTTGGTAAAACCTCTCAGTATCGTATCGTCTATATTTAAACGTGCTAATGTCAGCACATCCACATAAAACTGTGGAAAATACTGGGCTTTTCACTATGTACATGTTTACATGATGAAGCGGTGAGTTTACGGTAATGATTCGCTACAGGTGTGCCGACGTCACTTACTGAATTAATGCTACGCTAAACACACACACACACACACCTATAAATCAATCTTAATCTGGCGTCCTATAGAGATTCATAAGCAGCAGAGATGAAGGATCGGCGTCTCATCAAACCTTCACTGAGTTTAAGAGTCTAACAGTCAGAAAGGAGTTTGGCAACATGTGAGCGCAGGGCAGAAAGAGTTAAAGCAGCGACATACAGAGAGAAATATACTAGAGATATCATCATCATCATCTTCATCATCCTGGCTAACAGTGATGAAGATGTGACCCGAACACTTCCGCCCTTAAACACGCCAAAATGAGAGTTTGTGGCTCCCTTACACTACCGATCAAAAATAATTATCTTCTGTTCGGCAAGGCTGCATTTATTTGATAAAAAAATACAGTAAAAATTGTGAAATGTTATTAGAATGTAAACAGCTGTGTTCTATGTGAATATGTGTTAAACTGTAATGTATTTCTGTGATGCGCAGCTGTATTTTCAGCATCATTACTCCAGTCTTCAGTGTCACATGAGTTAAAAAAAAACAGTTCAAAAGAACAGCATTTATTTGAAATAGAAATCTTTTGTCACATTATAAATGTCTTGACTGTCACTTTTGATCAATTTAATGCATCCTTGATGAAAAAAAAGGATTAATTTCTTTTTAAAAAAACACTTTTGACTGGTAGTGCATCACAGTTTCCACAAAAATATTGTGCAGCAGAACTGTTTTCAACATTGATAATAATCAGAAATGTTTCTCGAGCAGCAGATCAGCATATTATACTGATTTCTGAAGATCATGTGACACTGAAGACTGGAGGAATGATGCTGAAAATACAGCTGTGCATCACAGAAATACATTACAGTTTAACAGAGACTCACATAGAACACAGCTGTTTTACATTCTAATAACATTTCACAAATTTTACTGTATTTTTGATCAAATAAATGCAGCCCTGCCGAACAGAAGAGACTCTTTTTAAAAAATATTTAAAAATCATAATTATTCCAATCTTTTGAGCAGTAGTGTAAATGCTGACAGAATAAACTCAGACGTGTTTCAATCAGTGCTGTAGATACGGTAAGAATGAAGCTCCTCCTAAACTGTAAGCAGTAAATGATGGTTCATGTAGAAACTAAAGACGACTGGATATTTACAGTAAAAGGGTGATGCGCGCTTCAGTGTCATGCATCTACTTCCACACAGCAAATAAATACTCATGAGGTCTTTAAAGGAAAGACTGACGTCATTGCAGAAATGGTCCTCATGTAGAATTAAACCGATTCATCTCACCGTAAACAGATCAGTCCGAGTGTTTTTCATTTCTTCAGGAGAAAAGCGAAACAAACGACTCTCCAGATCTGTTTCGACAGAGGATTTTCTGCTTTAAAGTGCTGGAGGAAGTCAAATGTCTTAAACGACTCGCCGAGACTTCATGTCTGATGATATCTTCATATCCTTTTGCTCCTCAAGTAAATTTATCTTGATTTAAGAATCTTCAGACATTTGTACTGGAAAACAAGACGAACATACTAAGTAAACAGTTTTTGCAGTGCATGAAATACTTTTTTAGAGCAAGAAGAACATCTGCTTCATTTCTAATACTTAGGCGGCTTTTAAAAGTGTTTAAGATCATATTTTTTTATAATGAATACTGTTAACTAGTCCTGCAGTTTGACTTCTAGCAGCACATGAAAGCAGGAAACTCAAGAGGCACCAGATGCTTCCATGATCAATAAGAGGTCACATATGTAAACATACAAACGCAGTTAAGTCAATTATCAGTTGCTCATCAAGCAGCTTGATGTGTGTGGATTCGACATGAAGATCTCGTCATACTCAAGCGAACAGTCTTACATTGAAGCATTGCCTCTAAAATCTCTATTTTACATCATGCTGAAGAGTTACGTTGCATAGAAGTTCAGATTTACTCTAGGAGCGGCGGAGACGAAAGAAGCCAGGGCTGGGATCTCGAGGGCTGTTAAAGGCGAGGTGAGCAGCTCCGAGACAGCAGGGGGCACTAGCAGCTTCCCGGAGACGAGCAGACCGAGCCACACATGCTCAGTTTGGAGGCCTCGGGTTCGGCCTCGGTCTCCTCGTCCTCTGTTCCTCCCTCGGCCTCGTCTCCGTCTGGATCGGCGTCTCCGTCTGCTGCCATACAGCCCTCCTCCTGCCGACGCTTCAACCTGAACCACAGCACAGGAACAAGCGCAAGATCTTCAGGAAGTTTTCATGAGCTGAACACACACAAACATCACCACAAAACTGTATTTACAAATGGGAAACTCTACACGCCTAGAGTTTCCGAGTCAGTTAGAAAAATGTCAGATGCAAAGTCTGTATCGACAGTAAATTTGTTCAAATAAATGTTCAAAAAAAATTATTTACTGTAAAACCAAGTTGCATGTGCAAAATACACACAGTACTGCAACAATAAAACAATGCAAAAACACACAGTCTTTCTACATAATGTTATGGAGTTAAAAAATCTTGTTCAGGCATTTTGCCATCTTGCTCCAAAAAAGTGATTTGAAAGCATCTGAAGTCGTAATTAGGCCTTCCCAACTCACTTTTCCTCACCCTCAAGCCATCCTAGGTGTGTATGACTTTCTTCTTTCAGACGAATCCAATCTGAGTTATATTTAAACATATCCTGGTTCTTCCAAGCCTTATAATGGCAGTGAATGGGTGTTATTTTCAATAGTCCAAAAGAAGTCCAATAAAGCGCATCCATCCATCATAAAAAGTGCCTCACACGGCTCCGGGGGGTGAATAAATGCCTCCTGAAGCGAATTGATGCGTTTGTGTAAGAAGCATTCATATTTAAAACTTTATAAACCGTAATCTCTAGCTTGCGCTGACTGTCGTACGCGCGTTCATTCCGGCGGATGACGTAAGCGTAGCGTAAGCTCTGGTGATAAGTGACGAATGCAGAAGCGCAGCGGAGAGAGCAAAACAAAACACTGGTCACGAATTAGAAGCACAAAATGAGGATTTGTAAAGAAAAATGAGGGAGGATTTCGATATAAGCCGAGAGGAAACTTTGCTTCCTTTGCTCCTGTAAACAAACGTCGGTTCTCGCGAGACGAGCATATTCTCACTGGAGCTTACGCTACGCTTACGTCATCCGCCGGAATGAACGCGCGTACGACAGAAGCTAGAGATTACGGTTTATAAAGTTTTAAATATGAATGCTTCTTACACAAACGCATCGATTCGCTTCAGGAGGCATTTATTCACCCCCCGGAGCCGTGTGAGGCACTTTTTATGATGGATGGATGCGCTTTATTGGACTTCTTTTGGACTATTGAAAAATAACACCCATTCACTGCCATTATAAGGCTTGGAAGAGCCAGGATATGTTTAAATATAACTCAGATTGGATTCGTCTGAAAGAAGAAAGTCATACACACCTAGGATGGCTTGAGGGTGAGTAAATCATGGGCTAATTTTCATTTTTGGGTGAACTATCCCTTTAAGGAAAGTATATTAAAAAGACACTATCGCTGGTAATTTTTGCATTTTTTCTTTAAACTGTAATCACGTATATATGAGGATTACATTGGCTGTGCTCTAAAATAAACAGTTTGTACAAACATGGTGTGTTCTAATTACTTTGGTCAGAACAAGATGGCCATGCATTTAGTAGATTTCTTTAAATCTATAAAATGCTGAATAAAGAGTGTGCACGGGGTATGTTTTTTAGCTTTGGATTTTATTCAATTTATGTAGGTGCTGTAAATTGAATCATATATTCTATAGCAATTTTACAACAATATTGTATTTTGTGCATGCAACGTAGATTGTTTTATTGTAAATTTATAAAAAGACCATTAACACAATACATCAATATGTGCTCTAAATGTTAAAAGTCTAGGGCAGCAGAATGAGTTGAATTAGAAACACTTCAAAGATTAAAAATACAACTTCCAACCATTCTTTTTTAATTAATTTTGCAAAAAGAAAAAAAATTGCTCAAGGCTCGAAAAGCTCTGCTCTCGAATACTAGAATACCTTCTGATCGCACTGCAATGAATCTGTATTTCTGTCTTGTTTTCCTGCGCAAATGTCTAAAGATTCATAAATCAAGACATTAGTAGCAAAATGACAGAAGTCTTGTTTTCTGTGGAATTGATCAAAATGAAGTGAGTTTATGATTAAAACAGGAAGAAATATGGGCTCTTAATTCAAAAGGAAAACAAGTTTTCATTCCTCAATGACATATTTATTCTTGCTTTAATCATAAACTCACTTCATTTAAGGATGTTTAGATATTTGCACTGGAAAATAAGATGAGCCACACCAGAACAGAAACGGAGTGAGCGTTATAGAGAAACGATTGAAAGCAGATACTGAACAAAAGCACAATCTGACCGTTTCTTCTGTAAGTTCAGCATGTGTGTCTGAATGTGTGAACAGGGTCCAAAATGAACTTGAATGTGGAACATTTACTGCCCAGAAATGTTGTTTTACTGTATTTTGCATCACTAGCTTAAAAATAGATTTTGTCCTTTTGGAATTATTTATTTAAAGATTTGTAGAAATGTAGCACTGCATCAGTGTCTCAGCAATGGATGCTCTGCAGTGAATGGGTGCCGTCAGAATGAGAGTCCAAACAGCTGATAAAAACATCACAATAATCGAACGTCGTCCCAGTTGACATCGGAGAGGTAGGGCGCCGTCTGCATTTGAGCCAGACTACAGAAGCGATGCTCTGGGTTTACAGTCAATAACTACAGAAACACAAAACACAAGCACATCCAGGACGAACACCATCAGGACAGTGCAACAAACCAACCAACCACACTTCTCACTCACACACACACACACACAAACATCAGTGTGTATCCGTATTCACAGAAGTATTCACACCACACTCGACTGTTTACTGTAATTACATACTGTAATGTGAAATACTCCCGCGTAAACCAGGATATATGGAGCAAAATTAACTAAATAGAGAACGTTCTCAGAACTTGGCAAGGTTCTCTCAAAATTATTAACAAATGTTCTTCCAGTAACGTTAACAACGTTCATTCCGAGTTTTCAGTTTTTTAAATAATGTTCTCAAAGCATTAGCACAAAAACATTATTACACATCATTCATGGAACACTTCTGTTTCTGAATCATTTTAGTTGGACGTTCCGCTAACATTTTTTAAATGTTAGAAGTTTCAGAATGTTTAGAGAACATTCAAAAGTAACATTCCCCCAGTGTGTGCAAAACGATCAAATGGAATGTTCCACTAATGTTACACAGACACAAATGAGGGAATAGATCTCGCTCTTTTGCTTGCAGACTTTGGTATATTGGGTTAATTTAAGCACAGTTTGAGACTTTGTTGAGATCTCTTCTAAAGCTCTTTTTCTCAGGAGAAACTTCACATTTACATTTATGCATTTGGCAGATGCTTTGATCCACAGCTACTTAAAATAGAGGAGCATAGGCAATTCACCACACATTTCATATTTTTTCTACTTGAAGATTTTTGAAAGTCCTTTTCCAAAACGTGCTTTTGATTTGCATGACTGCATGAACTGAAATGAACACTGAACTGACTCTACTGAATGAATGTCTTGCTACAGCTGCTTCAGAGCAAAATTCTCAATTTTTGAAGCTTGCATAATTGATTCTGCTATTTTTCTGCTAATTACTGTAAAGATGCTTTGAAACAATCTGTATTCTATAAAGCACTATAAAAATGCAGGTGACGGGACTTGACATGTCATCCGCTGATAAAGTGTAAACCGCAGTTTCATTCTCTGTTTTTGCCATTTTTATTACTTTTTTTAAATACGTCTATATAGATTTTATTTCAGTTTTAGTTTTAATTTTAATTATTTTAGTATATCAAGTTTAGAAGTGATCTCAGCAATGTCTCAAACTTTGCTTAAACTGGCCGATAAAGTAAAATCTGCAAACAAAGGTAAGAGATCTTAAGCGATGAAATCAGATTAATGACTCATTTGTGTCTATATGTCTATTAAGAAACATCTGAGGTCTTAAATGAAATATAATAGAGAGCCGAAAGAGGAAGTACTGAGCAGCATACTTCCTGTGGGTCCATCTATTCATCCGACCCACAATGCTCTTCTCCTGTGATTCATGCACACAGTATAATCTCTCCATAACTCTCAGCTCTAATCAATGACTTTAATGTCTCACGTCGCTCCTCTGTTCTTCACTAATATCCATCCTCCTCTCATAATATTTCTTCTGTCTCTCCAGTGTTTTCTTCATTCATCTTATTTTATTATCTCTCCAGCTCATTATCATCTCCTCCTCTTTCTCTCACTCATCACAATCTGTCCCTTTATTCTCTCCTGCATCATTACAGTGTTTTATTCTCTCGTTATTCATTCTGACTCCATCTGCATTCTATCTATTTTCATCTTTTGTCCATTTCATCCTTATTAACGCAGTTTGTCGAGGTGAAGGCTCTTCCGACTCGGGCGAGTAAGAACTCACCTAGCAATGACACACGACACCATAGCAACCACCCACAATAACCTAGCAACCACCCAGAACACCCTAGCAACCACATATAACACACTAGCAACCACCAAAACAACCTAGCAACCACTTAGAAAACCCTAGCAACCACCTAGAATACCCTAGCAACCACCCAGAACACCCTAGCTACTGCAGAGCAATGTGGTAAAACAATCGGAACACATTAGCAAACACCCCAGACACTACCCAAAACACTACAGCAACCACATACTACCCAAAACAACCTAGCAACCACCTAGAATACCCTAACAACCACCCAAAACACCCTAGCTACCGCAGAACAATGTGGTAAAACAATCAGAACACATTAGCAACCACCCAGAACACCCTAGCAACTACCCAAAACACCCTAGCAACTAGGGCTGCACGATAAATCGAAATGGAATCGAGATCGCGATTCGACAGAAGCTGCGATTGTCATGCGTATCTTTCAGTGAAGCGCGGTTCTGTGATCAGCAGTAAATCTCCATCCAAAGGCCAGAGGGCGCTCTCGCGCTGAAACTCCAAATATGCCCCGAATATCGCTGCAGCTGAATAAACAGAAGATTCAACTGCTTTCATTGATTCAATGTGACTAATAGACACACGACTACGGCTATATACGGTTTATCTGAGTATTTATTATTATAATTTTCATTAAAATAAAGTATATTTATAATGCAATGACTTTATCGCTGCTTAAATACTATGAAATATGTTGCGTGCCTTATTCTGTGTAAGAAGCCACATCATCTCACAGAAGGATTTATTTCAAACACTCGACTGACGTTATGAAGTGAGTTTGGAGTAAAAACATGTTATTAAATGTGGTATTTTCACATGCTTTCAGACGGAGCAGCATTTACTACACAGAGCCGTAGTTCACTGAGAAGCTACGCAAACAGCGTATCGCGCATTCGATTTTTTTTGCGTAACTTGTCAGTGAACTACGGCTCTGTGAAGTAAATGCTGCTCCATCTGAAAGCACGCGATGATGATTTCCTGCTGATTACAGAACCGGCTTTACTAACAAATTGCGCATGACAATCGCATTCGATTAATCGTGCAGCCCTACTAGCAACCACATAGAACACATTAGCAACCACCAAAAAACAACCTAGCAATCAGTTAGAACAACCTAGCAACCACACAGAACCCCTAGCAAATGCAGACTAATGTACAAAATCAGAACAACCATACAAAAATATCCTGGCGGCAACCACCCAAAACACCTTAGCAACCACACAGAAATGTCCTGCTGACCTCCCAGAACACCCTAGCAACCAGCCATAACACCCTAGTAAATGCAGAGAAATGTGCTAAAAACAATCAGAACAGATTAGCAACCACATATATTTGCCATGGCAACCACCCACAATACACTAGCAACCACCCAAAGCACCCTAGCAACGAGTTAGAATACCCAAGCAACTGCTGAGAAATATTTCAGAACATGTTACCAACCACATAGAGATGTTCAGGCAACCACCCAGAACATCCTAGCAACCACCCAAAACACCCTAAAAATCAACCCAAACACCTTAGCAACCCACCTAGAACACACTAGCAACTGCAAAGCAATTTGCAAAAAACAATCAGAACACATTAACAACCACACAATCAATGTCCTTTCAAAAATCCATAGCAATCACCTCAAGCAATGACACACGACACCATAGCAACCACCCACAATACCCTAGCAACCACCCAGAACACCTTAGCAACCCCTTGGCAACCACCCAGAACATCTTGGCAACATCCAACTAGATTTACATTGTCATAAGTATGTATGAGTGGGGTTTGCCTGTGTAAGTCTGTGACACCATGTTATGGGTGGTTGCTAGGGTGTTGCTAGGCTGTACGTTCTTCATCTGTAGCATTAGTTGTGCATGTTGGTGATGCTCTGTTCATCTCACCTTCCTCAGCAGCGAGACGAGGTCTTTGTGCCAGGACGAGCTGTACTGCACACTGACCGTACTGAACAGCTGCAGCAGAGACTCCACCGAGTTACTGGCGTGGATGTCGTACGGCCTCTGAGAGACAGAAATATGCTCAGGTCTTCACAGGTAACACATTTACGTTATAAAAACACTGTGGGAGCATTGTTTTGAAATGTTTCTAAGACACTAAAAGTTTTCTGTTCATAACTATAACATTATAATTTCAGTCGATATCGATAATTATCACGATTAATGTCAAATCTTTATTTCTTTCAAGTTTAAAGCCAGATTTTTTCCTCCAAAGTGAAAGTTGTAGAAACTGATTCATTTTCCTTAAAATAAATATCTAAATAAATATTTTCTTAGTTTCTGCATGTTCTAATGAGTGATATTGTTTCAAATCAAGGTTGCCTGATAATATTAATAATAATAATAGTAATAATAATAATAATATCACTTTTTTTGTCTCTTAGAAATGCACATTTGATAGTAGCTTGAGTTAGGATGCAGAGGTAAATTTTTGTTCATTATCAAAATCGGTAACATCTGTAAAAATTGTAGCAACCTCAGTTTTATACGGTTAAATTTATCCTGACCAAGTTTTTTTTAATTTTTTTAATTAAGCATTGGTCTCCCACAGTAGCATACATTTGAGTCATGATAAACACAGTAAAAACCACACATATAGCACCTCAATACCATGGTAAAAATATAACTATATGGTTTTTAGGTAGCCTATTTGTATGAAAAACAGTAGTCTAAAAACATTCAGTATAAATGCACACATGCTATAGCTTATTACAAACACATATTACAATTATATACCATTACTCCTGTAATAAAATTCAGTGTGAATATCCCACATCTCTACCACAATACCATGGTGCAGTGAGTGTTACTACAGTAAATCCATGGTAAATGATGGCGACGTGTAGATTGAAAAGCCTTCTGACTGTCTCGTTGCACACAGTGTTTCTCCTGTTTGGCTTTAAACTAGTTTAAATCACTGAGTCATGTGTTCATCGCTCTATTGGCACTTCACACTGGATCTCACAGCGCTGTTTAGTGAGTAAACGCATCTTCTCTAGTGAGGAAAATTATATCGCGATAATTATCGTTATCGAATTATCGCCCAGCCCTAATTTAAAGGTCATCAAAATGTTTCTTACAGCGTTTTACTAACTTTATCTTCACCCAAAATATAACCTTATTTAATATTCTAAGGACATTACAGTTTTCTTGTCATTAGAACACTATTTAACTCTTTCCCTGCCATTGACAGAATGGTCTGTCTCTCCGTGTTTTCACTGTCATGCAGTAGGGGGTGCTATTAACATCTGAAAGTGTTCTGAATCACACAGATGAAGAAGCGGTATGTAAGCAGATGCATATGTAAAATAACGCAATCCTCAAAACATCAACAGCCTAACGTTAGCGAATGAAATGGCGACCCAAGAAGTGGTTTAGGACTGTGAAGCTTTGTGGGTGTGGATGGAAGCGATCTACTCCATCTGTGTTTTGATCATCGTTCTGAATCTGATTCGGACGTAGTCTTTGACAAAAATGACATTTTCTCAGCTTTTTGTTCAAAACCACTTACCAACATTCAAGTGTTAATAAAAAAGAATACATGAAGCTAGAATAAAAGTTTTTTGTTTGCTTGTAAAAGCAGAGGCTCTGTTCTTTCCTTTCACAGATTGCATGCTCAGATTTTCATACAACAAAACATTCTGGGGGCCATGAAAGTTTTGTGAAAATGATCAAAACTGCTGGCGGTGACTGGCAGCTTATTTTAAAAATGCCAGCGGGGAAAGAGTTAAAGGTTACAAAAACGTTTCTTAGAACATTCAAGGTCCAAGATTCTTGATCTCAGAACGATTTCTCTCAACGTTATGAGAATGCATATCAAATATTCATAAAGTTATTAGAACGTTCCATTAACATTTCTTTAAGAGCGCTTTGTCCGAACACTTAGATAACTTTAAAAAACGTAAGTGAAAGTTATGAGAACGTTCCCTGTTAGCTGGGCTCCTGCTGAGACTCGTTTAGATCCACGTGAATCTGCACAGCGGTCGAAGCTGGTTTATAGGGTTAGGGTTGCAAACCAGCAAAGCTTAGCTGGTGAAGATGGTTGACCAAAGAGGTTAAGCTAGTTAAGCACCAGCACGTCAGCATCCCCTGCTGGAGACTTCAGTATAAAACACAAGGTTTACTGGTGGCTCGTCAATCTGCGTTTCCCAAAACCATCGTAAGCATCAGTAGATCGTAGAAACTATTGCCACCGTTGCTCTCTACGATCGTGCTTTTGGGAATCGCAGTTCTGCACATTCATTACGCTGTCATCTGCCAAAAATCGTACCCAACTTCGCAGAACCTCAAAGACCGTCACACCCAGCGACCACCAGTCCACTTCAAACGCATAACCGGATCCCCCGCTCATGAACGACTGGAAGATCTCTGGAGCTGTTGGGAGAAACACATGCATTCAGACCATGATTATTATGGGATGTGATCTATGCAGTCAGACTCTGGCCAACAAGATAAAGTCTGGTCCAGATATTCTGACCAAGAACTACCACACAAGACAAGTCATAGTTAGATCAGCGGTTCTCAGACTTATTGACTCCAAGGCCTTCAACTATCCAGAACACTTTTAAATTCTGTGCATTTCTGGTTTCCAGAAGTTTTAGGAGCTGAATGTTCTTCAGGGTTCCTGCTCTTTTTAACCTATAAACTAGCATGACTTTCCCAGTTGTTCTTAATTATGGATTAGGAAACTTGTTATGAAAAAATATTTTGTACTCACAATTTGTAAGCGTTAAAATATTTTAGAATTTTTATATAACTAGTAAAATGTATATTCATCATAAGATTTTAGGATTTGATTAATGTCGATGACTTTTCCAGGTCTAGAAATCACACTTATAAAATGAGGCTTCCTCTCACATCCAGGTTTGCCAAGATCACATTGGCAACACATATAAATGTCATGGCACCACCTAGAACACCCTAGAAACCACTAACAACAACCTAGCAACCACCTAGAACACCCTAGCAACCACTAACAACAAC